AGTATATTTATCCTTGTTATCCGATTAGCTTAGTAAACCTTGTTATAATTGATAAATACAGTTAAAAAATCTCTCAATTATATAAACAAAACAACGGTCATCAATAAAAGTAAAACTAAAAACAATGCGTGTACAAATAAAATTAAATAAAAACTCCGGACAGCCGATTCTATGAACTACTTCTTGTTGTAAAGTATCAAACGTGTCAGATCAAAATTTTCATTCCAAGCCTTGTTTCGGTAGGCGAGAAAATAATTTTTATAGACGTTATTGTCCATATTCATTTTGTTTGTTTTTTAATCATGTTTATTATTATTTTGTTGACCACTTATTGCTCAAAAGTTAGAGCAATGTTTGAAAATACGAATTTAAAAAAAAAAAAACAGAAAAGCGAGGGAAAAAAATCTCTAAAATAAATTTCTATTGTCTACAAATGAACCTGAATCAATAATAAATCATTTTCATTTTCTATGATGAAGTACACACTGTAATTGGCATACACGAAATATCTTTTAAAATCTGTTGATTGATAAATTGTTCTCTTCTCAACGTTCAGTGGCAAGTATTTCATGCAATATTAAGGACGTCTGAAATTTAATGTACATTAAATCTGTTGCTCAGTGGGTCCTACAAAGTAAAAGATCCGTCATGAATGGCTGAAAATTGAGGTTGCCACCGGGAAAGGATGATATGTAGGATAGGAAAAAAAATCATTGGTTCACCTACTAATTTAACATCCCCATTTCGAATGAAAATAAATATTTTTAGATTAGTGCTTCAATGATGAAACGGGTATAAAATGTATTGAAATATCGTATGGCAATACAAGTATATCGGGAAACATTTGTGTACTTTTACAAAAAAAAATCTTCACTGAGAATTCAATCGCGGCATTTGAGCCCTAAAGAAATTTTCCAGTTCTCTTTAAATTAAGCGTGTATTGTGAATATTAATATTTCGCGTAATCAAGTATAACAGTTACCTTTTCTATGATTATTTATTAGGAATGCGATTATTATATGAGATATTCTGATTGAAAGATGTATGAAAAAAACGTTTAACAAATTTCTCGAAAGTATGCAACATTTTACATGAAATTGACGAACTAGATAATTAGTAAACACGTTAAATAAGTTGGTACTATAGTACTAACACGCTTATGATCCTGTATCATTTTTTGACATCCGTTTTAAGTATACAAATAATGCATTTTATTCAGTTTGCTTCATTCCCGGCAACATCGTCCTTTTGGCGCTGTCTTTTGGCGTTGTCAGTGCCCCTCAGTATTGTGACGTTACCATGGACCTTTGACGTTCTACACAATCAACAAGATTTGTGTGTAGAAGCCATAAATGTCCCTTTGGCAGCAAGAGGGTTAAGGGTATTAGTGAACATGAGGGGTGGGTTTGGGAACAATTTCGATAATTTTGGTAATTTAACAATCTAAGCAGCCATTAAAAATGGCCAACAAGTTTGCTAGTAGTAAGTACTAGTATCTAATTTTGATGGGAGTTTAAGGATCTGACATTAAAATAAATACAGGTCAATTTTTTTTAATGGGAACTTGACAGCCGTTTAAATAAATTATTAAAGACAGTTATTGGGAAGAACGTCCGCCTTGCGCCAATTGCCCTTTTCGACCAGAAATGGTGCATAGAGTGACAAATGTAAGCGCCCACGTGGCGCACGATATTTTCCACTCCATTATGAAACATTTGATATCGTAAAATGGATTTCCGATTGTGTTTCATGTCGCCATGTGTATGTACAAAACTGTGTAGTGTTACCGCCAATGATAGGAGCACCGCCTATATATATTTTTGGGACGTCTCGGGTGTAAACATATTTTGGATTATATCTTTTGGTAAGTACAATGTATTAGAATTTCCACAATTTTGAATATATGTGCATGATCTTTTAGTTCAAAGTAGTGACATTTAAAGTGTTTTATTAACTTTTAAGAGTCAAGAAAAAAAGAAGGTCATAGATTTATAAAAAGTATTAATAAAGAAGATGTGGTATGCTTGCCAATGAGACAACTCTCCACAAGAGACCAAATGACACAAAAAAATATGCATATACATATCATAAAATTGTGTAGGACATGAGTCATATTTTGTATCATTTTAAAACATTATTTGTTTTATAAAATAGTACTTCTGAAAAAGTAATTTTGCTATAAAATTAGAGATCTGTGGTGTGACTGACAATATGACATTTATATATCCACAAATGGTAAAATAATATATCTTTATATATACATGTATAGTATATACACTACCCACCAAAAGTATGATATAAAACATGGGCAAGACCCATTATGTTATAGTACAATGATTATGAAAAACAAATATTAAACAAAAAAGAAAGGACAACCTCTTTATTTCTAGGGACAGTCACTTATTATATATAATGATGATAATTTAGTACTGACATGAGGTTTAATGTATTGTACAGTTATATTTCAGCTGCTGAACCAGGGTGGTGGTGGTGGCAATTAAGTCAACATTAGGAGTAAGACTTATAAAACTTCTATTTAATAAGTTATGTAGCTCTAAAGCTCAGAAAGGGGGAGCCCACTTTCCTAAATCCACCTCTGAATATTAAATTTCTAGAAGGATTTGACACTCTTAGAAATTGACCCTGCAAGTGACACATTAATACAAATTTTTTCAAAAAGTGTTATTTTCATTTGATAATTTCAGAATTGACAACAAATGTAACTAACTAACTTTATATCTGTACAATGTTAACTTATTCTTTTATATGCTAGATTCTTTTACTTTTATTTTGCAGAATTTGCCATCAACTAATTCAACTTTAAGGACAGCGAGTTCAATGGGACACTGAACGAAAAGATACACACATGTAACAGGACTACCTATAGACGACAGAGAACAAATATTGTTTTATTAAATCACAGAAAATGCCATAAATGGAAAGATTTTCTAAAGACATTCTCCTTACTCATCCATCAAATTCCATCTGATGGTCAATTCTCCATCAAGTTTCCATGCATTTTACATGTAATGGAAATATTCCATTGGTTTTCCATCTGATGGCAAAATTACCATCAGTTTTCCATCAGATGGCAAAAATACCATCAATTATCCATCAGATGGCAAAAATACCATCAGATGGAAATTATGCCATCAATTTTCCATCAACATGAACACAAATTCCATCAAACCTTTTCCATCAACCATTTTCCAGCATTGATGGAAAGTTGATGGAAAGTTGTTCCAATACTCCATCAACATGATGGAATGTGATGGCATTTTTTCCATCACAAAATTCCATCATGTTTGATGGAAAATCTAGGGAAGGGTAATATACATCTGTGTGTTATTGCGTCAACCCAAAATCGATCAAATTTGTTGACTGGGCACCCTACTTTATACATGTGTCTCTTGTGCAACAAAAGAATTATTATCATAATGTCAATATAATATTTCCATGGTTCAAAACTGGTCTGTAAATGCTTTAAATCAGCGGAAAGAACATTGTTGCATCTTTTGTGAAAAAGTTAAACACTACGTAGAAATAAGTATAAAGAAACCATAACATAACCATAGGTACTTGATAAGCAGCCCCTCAATATTTTTTCAAATTCCTTACTTTTTATACGACCGCAAACATTAAAAATTGTTTGGTCGTATATTGGTATCTTGTCGTCGTCGTTTTCGTCAGCGTCGTCCGAAGAGAAGGTTTCCGGATAATAACTTTAGTATAAGTAAATAGAAATCAATAAAATTTTAACACAATGTTTATAACCACAAAAGGAAGGTTGGGATTGATTTTGGGGGTTATGGTCCCAAAGGTTTAGGAATAATGGCCAAAAAAGGGGCCCAAATAAGCATTTTTGTAGTTTCCAGACAATAACTTGTTTTTAAGTGTATGAATCTCTCTCTTATACCACAAGTTTCCATACCACAAAGGGATGGTTATTTGGGGGGGGGGGGGGTGTGGTTATGGCTCACATCATTTAGCAATTAGGAGCAAAAAAGAGGAAAAAAAGGGTTTTTCTGGTTGATGGACAATTTAGACAATTTAAAAGCAGTGTAAGGGAGGTAATCCAATTCCATTTAAAGAATACTGTAATATATATGTTTGATTACCTCCCTTACACTGCTTGAAAATTATGTATTAAGAAATGATGATTGTCTTGAGATGATTAGCTGTAAATTTATTTTTAGAAGTTACTATTAAGTAATATTAATTTTAACCATGACTGTATGTCATTTTATATTTTAATATTTTATGATGTATTTAAATGAGTAGTTATTGTTGTAAACTCCATTTGAAATTTGAATTGAGATTATTTTTGGAATAAGGGAATGGGGGAGGTGAAAAAAAAATTGGGGGGGGGGGGGGGTACAATTTTTCTCATTTCAGATTTCAGAAATTAAAAAGAAAATTTCTTCAAATATTTTTTTTATGAGGGGATTAATATTCAACAGCAAGGTGTTTTGGAAACTCAAAAGCCAAAAAACACGGGGTAAATTTTTTTTGGCAATTCGCAACAGCATAGTGTATTGCACAAAAGCAAAAAATTGAATATAAATTCAAATCATATAACCAATTTTAAGTTCTTTGACTACAGTTATTCTGTGTCAGAAACCTATTATGTGTCAAATATTTAATTACAATCCAAATTCAGACCTGTATCAAGCGCGAATATTGTGTCCATTTTGGCCGCAACTTTTCAGGGTTGAACATCTGCGGTCGTATCCAGCTGCGCTTAGCGAAGCAATTTATTTTCTATTCAACTAATTTCAATTATCTTTGCGTTTTTCCTGTATGATGTGAACATATTATCAGAAATAATTTCTATTTACCATTTACTATTGATTCCAAGCTAAAGTTAACTATTCATAGCTGTCACTGATACATATTACTAGTATATTGGTCACTAAAGTGTTAGTAAGTTAGTGACATAGTCAAGAATTCTTAGGTTATGACTATGTGAAATAATGCAGTGAAAAAATATATATTTTCAGCCTACAAGAAGACCAATGTCAATCAGTAATTCCATGGTTGCCTCCCTTTTTCTGACTCTATACACTTAAAGTTTATCATTTCTAAGATGAACAACATACAGAAGAAATAGAGATATTCGTCACCAGACAGACAAACAAAAAGACAAAGAACTACATTAGAAGCTATGTCTTATAACGAAGTTATAACTCCTGATACAGTTATCTCCCTTGATCAGACTCATTGCCATGCACCGCAGGACCAAACAAGATGTAAAATTGAGGACCAAACTGTGTATGATGAAGAATTGAGTTGTAATTCAGAATTGAGAATACATACAGGAATTAAACCATTAAAATTTGATATAGATATCAAAGCAGAAAGTGATTCAGAGAATTCTGAATTGCAAAGACACACGAGAACACAAACATCTGATAAACCGTTTGTATGTGGTGTTTGTGATAAAAACTTCTTTCGGAAACCTGATTTACTTGTACACATGAGAGTACACGCACCTTATAAATGTGATATATGTGGTAAAGAGTTCAGTACAAAAGGCAACTTAAATACCCATATGAAAACACATACCATGGAAAAACGTTTACAGACTCACATAAGAACACATACTGGTGATAAACCTTATAAATGTGATGTATGTTGTAAAGTCTTTAATGCCAAAGGAAACTTGAAACAACACAAACAAATACATACTGGTGATAAACCTCTGAAATGTGTAGTCTGCTGTAGAGGGTTCTATAGAAGAAGCATCTTAACTATCCACATGAGAACACATACTGGTGAAAAACCTTACAAATGTGATGTATGTTACAAAAGGTATAATACTAGGGGCAACTTAACTGTACACATGAGAACACATACAGGTGACAAACCTTATAAATGTGATTTATGTTGTAAAAATTTTAATCGTGAAGGGCATTTTACTAAACACATGGCATCTCATAAAGGAAATAATAAACAATTTAAATGTAATGAATGTGGTTTAGAATATAATTTGAAAGGTTTATTACTGTTACACGTAAAGAAAACACACATTGGAAAGAAACCTTATGAATGTGATGTATGTGGTAAAATGTGTACAGATTCAAGCACCCTTTCTGCACACATGAGAACACATACTGGTGAAAAACCTTATAAATGTGATGTTTGTTACAACGTGTTTAGTCAAAGAGGAAGCTTAAATAAACACAGGAAATTACATACTGGGCCAGTAGCTAGTGATGAACCTCATGAATGTGATGTTTGCTGTAAAGAGTTCAAGCAAAGGGGCACCTTAACCACCCACATGAGAACACATACTGGTGACACACCTTATAAATGTGAAGTATGTTCCCAAAGCTATAATGATAATGGCCAGTTAACTGTACACATGAGAACACATACTGGTGACAATCTCTATGAATGTGATGTTTGCTATAAAGTGTTCAATCAGAAAGGCCATTTAAGAATACACATGAGGAACCACACTGATGATAAACCTTACAATTGTCATTTATTTTTTAGAGGGTTTAATCATAAAGGGAACTTTACTAGATACATGGGAACACATGCTGATGATAAACTTTATAAATGTGATGTTAAACCTTATAAATGTGATGTATGTGGCAAAGTGTGTAATACTAGTACCCACTTGACTATACACATGAGAAAACATGCTGGTGATAAACCTTATAAATGTAATGAATGTTGTCAAATGTTTAAACACAAAGCAAGCTTTGATTATCATATAAGATTACATATATGTACAAGTGATAACTCTTATAAGTGTGATGAATGTTTTAAAGTGTTTAAATACAAAACAAGTTTTGATAAACACATAAAATTACATACAGGTTTTAAGTCTCATAAGTGTTATGTATGTTGTAAAGTGTTTAAACACAAAGCAAGCTTAGATTATCACATAAAGTTACATACAGTTGATAACTCTTATAAGTGTGATGTATGTTGTAGGGTGTTTAAATACGAAACAAGCTTTGAAAGACACATAAAATTTCATACTAATGACTGAAAAAAAGCAAGCTTTAATAAACACATAAAATTACATACTAGTGACTTTGTGGACTAACATTCCTGGACTAGAAGTTTCAGAATAACATGACAGCACACACTTGACCATGTTGACTGAATTGACAGAAAATGATTAATAAAGGTGGTTACTAACACCTTGACTAATATTAGTTTGGCTTGTTTAATTTTTATAAAATTTTGAAATAATGTTGACTTTGACCATTTGAAAAAAATTGAAAAATTTCAAAAAATTTGAACCAACCACTTATCAGAAAAATTTATATTGGTTATATTACAGGTTGACAAACATTAATTTTTATCATTGAGGAGCTTAATGTTTCCTTAACAATACAAAGTGATTAAAACGTTTAGCTGATATTACAGAGTTATCTCCCTGGAGTGTTAGGTACCACCTTAAGATGTGATATGATTGCCAAAAAAGTTTAGATGAAATGGATGTAAGTAACCAAACCATCCAACTATACGGCCTTCAACATCGAAAAAAAAAACACATCATATAGCCGGATAATGTTTATTATCAAGTGTATGTTTATCAAAGTTTTGAATTTAGTAAATTTTAATCTCATGCTGAGATTATAATTCATTTAAATTACAAGTTTGCATATTTATATTTTTGAATGATTATATTTATTTGTTGGGTAAAGATTGCATGAAATGCAATCAAAACCATATGTTACTGACTTGATATATAAATTCTTCAAGGCTGATCACTACCTTTTTGATACACAAAATATAGTGCATTGATCATAACATTATATACATCCTATCCATGAACATTTCCAGAAATTTATCACTTTAATATATGCTCAGATATTAATAAGTCACAAAACGATGCTCCACATGTCAAGAAAATTACATAACTTTTGCAAGGTGCAGGAATCTAATATCTGTTCTAAAAATATAAATAATGTCATTGTTAAAGTCATCTTTAAAAATTGGAGTTATCTCCCATTGTCCAGATAGTAGTTTAATCAACTAGCTTCATTGACAATGAAATATTTAATTTTACTTCCCACTGATAAAATAAACGCAATCTTTACCCTTCTGTGCTTACAAGCACTTTGATTTTGACATTGGATGAATTAAATGGACATGTGGTAATGAATGTATGCAGATTTAATCCACAACAGTTGTGGGGTACTTTAAAACTTATCCACACGAGTTATAGTGTATTCAGATTTAATCCACGTCAGTTGTGGGGTATTTTAAAACTTATTCACACGAGTTATAGTCTACAGCTGTGGATTCATTATTATTCGTTGGATACCCATTTTCGTGGATTTCCTGGGTACGGGTGAACCACTAATTTAAATGTTCAACGAAATACAAATTTCTTTAAAGTTGTATCCAGACTTTGGCAGACCATGAAATCACATATCCACGAAAATGCAAGGTTTCCGCAATCTCTCAATTTGATCTCTTTTGTTGTTAATTATTTTAAGATTTGACCCACATCAGTCGTAGTGTGTTTTATGTTTTAATCCACATATGTTGTATTTAATCCACATGTGTTGTAGTATGTGTATTTAATCCCCTTGAGTTGTAATGTATTTTCAAGTAGTCTACATGAGTTATAGTGTATTTTCAAATTCAATCCCCTTGAGTTGCAATGTATTTTTAAGTAGTCCACATGAGTTGTAGCGTATTTTAAAATATATTCCCAATGAGTTGTATTTTAAAATCTTATTCACATGAGTTGATTTATATTTTAGATTTTAATCAACCGAGTTGTGGTGTATTTTAAATCTAATTGACATGAGTTGAACTAGTAGTGTACTTTAAATCTAATTGTCATGAGTTGATGAATATTTTAAATGTTAATCATCTGCGTTGAGGTGTAAATTTAATATACATGAATTGTACTTGTAGTGTATTTTAAAATCTTATTCACACAAGTTGTACTTGTAGTGTATTTTAAAAGTTTTCCATATTGACAAAATGAAGATTTTGAGGCACACAATTTGACTTCCTTGCTAATTTTTTTTTAGAAATTACATACGAAAAAAAAGCAGAATTCAAAATTTGGGTTTTCTCAGTGACCGACTAGTAGAGCGTGGAATTTTACCCTTTGAAATATTTGTCAGCGTCCAATGAAAATTATCATTACAAAGGAATTATATTATAATTTCATTCTCACTGTTAATGGCTAAATGGAAATGAAAAGTGTGGATTCATTACTATTTCTTTATTTCCAAACGTTAAAATTTTTTTTGATATTCTTTTACAATGAATTGCATGTTTAAGTGTTCAATGAAGTATGAATTTCATATAAGCTTGTATTTAAAACTTTGAGGTTCCTCAATGCATGAAAAATATACCATGAAAATATACATGACCCTGATGATATATGTAATGAACTATCAGTATTGTTTATTATTTAAATTTTTGACATTCTTAACCTTAGTAATTGGGACACTACAGTCTATATTTGTGTTATATAAAATTGAGACTACAGTTATCTCTTCGTTTTTTGTTTTTTTTTTGGAAGCAGGAAATCAATCTGTATATCATTGTATATTTATCATGTTGAAAATGAAACATTGTAATTATTATGTGTTTTATATTATTATACAATTAAATTTTGATTCTTGCATGAATTATGTTGCATTATATGAACAAATTGAGATATGCAATGACATAGGATATAAATAAAATCATCGGATACCAGAATTGAAATTTTGTATTTGCGCCAGACGCGCGTTTCGTCTACAAAAGACTCACCAGTGACGCACGAATCAAAAAAAAGTTAAAAAGGTCAAATAAAGTACGAAGTTGAAGAGCATATTGAGGACCAAAAATTCTTAAAGTTTTGCCAAATACAGCTAAGGTAATCTATTCCTGAGGTAGAAAATCCTTAGTAAAACCAGCAAAAAGCTTGTGTGACCATTACAATGAGGAAGACCAAGTGTACAATAAAATTTTAGAATTTAGTTTGCCAACTTTTGTTCATTGTCAAGTAAAGAGTTTGTCATTAGCCTGTCTTGAATGAAGTTCTGAGTTGAATATAAAAAAGAAAATGTGGTATGAATGCCAATGAGACAACTGTCCACAAGAGACCAAATGTCACAGATATTAACAGCTATATGCCACCGTACGGTACATCTTCAACAATGAGCAAAGTCCATACCACATAATTAGCAATAAAATGCCCCGAAATCACAAATGTAAAACAATTCGAAAAAGAAAACTAGTGGCCTACACATTGTACAAAAAATGAACAAAAAACAAATAAGTAACACAGCATCAAACGACAACCACTGAATTACAGGCTCCTGACATGGGACAGGCACATACATACAGAATGTTGCGGGGTTAAACATGTTAGCGGGATCCAAACCCTCCCCCTAACCTGAGACAGTGGTGTACAAGTACAATATAAGAACGAAGTATAAAGATCAGTTGAAAAAGGCTTAACTCATCAGATGGATACAAATGGAAATACATATAAAAAAAACACATGTGAAGACTGCTTGTGGCAAGTTTCATCTATTCCAATCTTAATTGACAAAGATTGTTTCCTCAACACCGTGTTCTTTTTATAAAGGGACGTTACACCACTTCTTACCGTGTATTGAAATAAGCCCCGCCTACTTACCTCATATGACATATGCACGGTCTCCACGCGTTTGCTTTTAACCAATCATATTCCTTATACATATTCTACCTAAATGTCAACAATTGAGCCATATAAATAATAACCCTAAAGAAAAAAATTACTTTTGTATGTAGCTGTCCCTTCAACTTTACACTGATTTTCAATGAAACTGCGCAACTAGAATTTTCATTACAAGAAGATTTCATAGAGGAAAAAATCTATGTTCTTTTTAATTAAATATCATGTACTCTGTAATACTACCTGAATCTCAATTTACCTCAAACTGTTGTGCTTTATATCTTTTAATACTTTTGAATGGTGTCTTGTATAAAAAATCATAATTATTACATAATTTCAGTGTAAATTGATACCCCATGATTTTTTTTTTCTACTTCCTTGCAGCGAACATAGGATTAAATTACCCTATAACTGTAATGACATGTCTTAAAAAAATAAACCATTAACTTAGTTTCATTAAGGTGGCTCGGGTGTCTTCCTTCGTCTTGGATTTTAAAGAAGCAGATAACAGTTGGTCTAAATCTTTGATGAAATGTGCAATTTTTGAGAGTAGTATGTAATTCATGTGTAAGACTTTTAATGTAAATATGGAAAATTATGTGTTTTATCATATTTACGGCTGTAATTTCTAAAAAGCACCATATTTGTGTTTGATTCATTTTTTTTCAACTTTGCCAAATAAGGGGAGATAACTCAGATAGTAGGGGAGATAATTCAGATAAAGTAATTTTTATAATAGAAAGTGTTGTGAATTTAGCTATTTTAATATATAGCAAGAAAACAAGTTCGGTGACCACATTTTTTCTTTTTATACGTATATTGGATTGACGTTGGCATCGTCGTCGTCGTCGTCCGAAGACACATTGGTTTTCGCACTCTAACTTTAGTTTAAGTGAATGGATCTCTATGAAATTTTACCATAAGGTTCAATACCACAAAATGAAAGTTGGGATTGATTTTGGGGGTTATGGTACCAACAGTTAAGGAATTAGGGCCAAAAATAAGCTTTTTAGCTCACCTGACCTGAAAGGTCAAGTGAGCTTTTCTCATCACTTTGCGTCCGTCGTCCGTCGTCCGTAAACTTTTACAAAAATCTTCTCCTCTGAAACCATTGGGCCAAATTTAACCAAACTTGGCCACAATCATCATTAGGGTATCTAGTTTAAAAAATGTGTCCGATGACCCCGCCAACCAACCAAGATGGCCGTCATGGCTAAAAATAGAACATAGGGGTAAAATGTAGATTTTGGCTTATATCTCTGAAACCAAAGCATTTAGAGTAAATCTGACAAAGGGTAAAACTGATTATCAGGTCAAGATCTATCTGCCCTGAAATTTTCAGACAAATCTGACAATCTGTTGTTGGGTTGCTGCCCCTGAATTGGTAATTTTAAGGAAATTTTGCAGTTTTTGGTTATTATTTGAATATTATTATAGATAGAGATAAACTGTAAACAGCAATAATGTTCAGCAAAGTAAGATCTACAAATAAGTCGCCATGACCAAAATTGTCAGTCGACCCCTTTGAGAGTTATTGCCCTTAATAGTCAATTTTTAACAATTTTTCGTAAATTTTTGTAATCTTTTACAAAAATCTTCTTCTCTGAAACTACTGAGACAAATTTAACCATACTTGGCCATAATCATTATTAGGGTATCTAGTTTAAAAAATATGTCCGATGACCCCGCCTTCCAACCATCATGGCCGACGTGGTTAAAAATAGACAATAGGGGTAAAATGCAGTTTTTGGTTTATATCTCTGAAACTAAATCATTTAGAGCAAATCTGACAGTGGGAAAAATGTTCATCAGATTTAGATTTATCTGCCCTGAAATTTTCAGACGAATCCGACAACCCGTTGTTGGGTTGCTGCCCCTGAGTTAGTAATTTGGCAAAAATTTTGCTGTTTTTTGTTATTTTCTTAGATATCATTATAATATCTAATATCTAATACTATTAATTATGATTTTAACCTTATTTTACATGATTTCCAAAGCATCAGTAAATACAGGTGAGCGACACAGGCTCTTGAGAGCCTCTAGTTTGTAATTTCCAGACATAACTTGTGTGTTAGTGTATGGATCTCTCTGACATTGTACCACAAGGTTCCATATCACAAAGGGAATGCTGGGATTGATTTTCGGGTTAATTGCCTCATAATTTTAGGAATTAGGGACCAAAAAAGGGGCAAAAACAAGCATTTTTCTAGTTTCATGACAATAACTTGTGTGTAAGTGTATTGATCTTAGTGAAATTGTACTACAAGGTTCCATATCACAAAGGAAAAGCTGGAATTGAGTTTGGGGGTAATTGCCCAAAACGTTTAGGAATAAGGGGCCAAAAAGGTGCCAAAAATAAGCATTTTTCTAGTTTCCAGACATTAACTTGTGTTCAAGCGTATGGATCTCTCTGAAATTGCACTGCAAGGTACCATACCTCAAAGGGAAGGCTGGGATTGATTTTGGGGGTAATTGCCTAAATATTTTAGGAATTAAGGGCCAAAAAGGGGCAAAAAACAAGCATTTTTCTAGTTTCAGGACAATAACTTGTGTGTAAGTGTATGGATCTTTATGAAATTGTACTACAAGGTTTAATATCACAAAGGGAAAGCTGGGATTTAGTTTTGGGGTAATTGCCCTGAACGTGTAGGAATTTGGGGCCAAAAGGGGCCTAAAAACAAACATTTTTCTAGTTTCCAGACAATAACTTGTGTTCAAGTGTATGGATCTCTCTGAAATTGTACTGCAAGTTACCATACCACAAAGGGAAGGCTGGGATTGAGTTTGGGGGTGATGAATCATAAGGGGGTTAAAAAAATTTGGGGGAGGGATTTTTTTTCCTTTTTTTCCTTTTTTTTTTTGGTTAAAATTTTTCATTTTAAATTGGTTATTTCTGATTTATATATAAATGCAAATAATGATGATATGGTTTGAATAGGTAAATTAAAATTTTTTAAGTTCTTAGACCACATTCATTCTGTGTCAGAAACCTATGTTGTGTCAAATATTTAATCACTTTGTAATAGGTGATTATGTCCCCTTGAAAATGGATGTGTGAGTTTTTTGTGCTCATCGGAAAAGTATTATAAATTCCTTATATCTAAACTTTCTGGTGCCAATTTTCAAGATATTCTTATGGTTTTTACCAAATGATGGATATGTGAGTAAATTTCGCAAACTTAATTTCAAAACAATCTATATCTATATCTAGGATATCGCATGATGATGTTTTGTCAGAAATAGGTAAAGTAATTAATATTGAGGATGTGTTATCAATTCAAATCACTGAAAAAGACTGTATAGTAACTCTAAAAAATCCTGAAACAAAAGACAGGCTAGCGGCTCAAGGCATAACGCTAAGAGACAGATCTATTAAATTTTATGAAGTAGAGAGTTTAATTACTCATGTAACAATAAAAGACGCACCTTACGAACTAGAAAACTTATACATTTGTACTCAGATGTTTAGATTTGGTAAAGTAGTTCCAGGCTCTATAAAACGAGGCGTCATCAAAGGCACAAACATCGAAAATGGGTCTCGATATATTGATATTCTGGAATGTGATGCAGTGCTCCCGAATAGAACATCATTTGGTCGTTTTGAAGTAAGACTTTTTGCTGATAACAATCGCACTCCATGTATATACTGTCATATCACAGGTCATCCTTCATACAGATGTAAGGACAAACCAAGTCTCACGAATCAAAAGAGATGTTACAATTGTTGTGGTATAGGTCACGTAGCTAACGCCTGTACAAGTGAAGAATACTGCTCTTACTGTAACGTCAAAGGTCACGCCAGACGAGACTGTGAACAGTACAAACAGGAAACAGAAAAAAAGGAATTGGGCAGTTATGGTCCTGAAATATTAGAGGGAAGACAAGACAATACAAAAAACATTCACACTGACGAAGATGACGAAGAATCCATCTCATCAGACAACGCAAATTGTGGAAGAGAGACAGTGTGTGTTCTCCTTGGAGCATCTAATTGTATTAGGCTCGGACATATCGACGATTCGTTAGTAAACGCTTCAATATCTGGAGGATCCTTTGA